ACACACACACACACACACACACACACACACACACACACACACACACACACACACACACACACACACACACACACACACACACACACACAAACTGTTGTTCCCCCCCACTGACACCAGGCAAACCTCCACCAGCCCCACTTCTGCAAAACAGGTGAAAACAGACTTAAGAGCGACAGGAGTTAGTGCCGCTGAATCTTGTTTATTTATTCATTTATTTTATTTATTTTTGCTGTGTTTTACTTGGATCTATTTGAAAGAGTGAGTGTAAACGCAAAAAAATATTTTTATTTTATATGCTGGAATATGCAGAAAATAGGTTTAAATGTTAAACAAATTTCTTCAAGTCAACGACGGTTGCATATGATTTAATTTTTGCTTGATGCAATGTGCATAAAGTTAAAAGATTAAACCTAATAAAAGAGTCTCTTTCATTTGATTCGATTTTATATGATGGATTATGCAGAAATCCAGCTCAAGGCCACTTATGGTTTATTTGGTTAACTTGTGGCTGACATTTAGCTAATCTGTTGCCCACATATGGGGTGGCTATAGCTCAGGTGGCAGAGCAGGTCAGCCACTAATCAGAAGGTCGGTGGTTCGATCCCAGGCTGCCTCCTGGCTGGATGCCAAAATATCCTTGGGCAAGATATTAACCCCGTGTTTGCCGCCTGGTGGTGGTCAGAGGGCCCGGTGGTGCCAGTGTCCGGCAGCCTCGCCTCTGTCAGTGCGCCCCCAGGGCAGCTGTAACTACAATGTAGCTTGCCATCACCAGTGTGTGAATGTGTGTGAATGTGTGTGAATGGGTGGATGTAGTGTGAAGCGCTTTGGGGTCCTTAAAGACTGAGTAAAGCGCTATACAAATGCAGGCCACATATGGCTGATATTAGGCAGCCAGGATTGAGATGCCCATAGGTCATCGCACCATATGGTTTGTCTTCAGAACTGAGCCAGAATACGGCAATGTTTCTGTCTGGGAGTAGTAGAGATAATAACTGTTGATTTAAATGTGCTTTTGTTGTTTTTTTGTTTAGCATGACCTTATTTTGGATACTACAGCAAGATTAGAAAGGAACATTATAAAAAGGTGATATTTTGAGATGTATGTATTGTGATGTAGTCCTAGCTGTGTATATTATTATTATTATTATTATTATTATTATTATTATTATTATTATTATTATATGTGTATATTAGGGGTGCAACGATATTCGTATCGATATTGAACCGTTCGATACTGTGCTTTCGGTTCGGTACGCATATGTATCGAACAATACAACATTTGTAATTTATTTTATCAACTTTCCTTCTGACGATGCTGTCTGTGTTGAGCGCTCAGTGAATCTGCGTTCGACTACTCCGCCTAGGCTGCACTGTCGAGCGCAGATCCACTGAGCGCTCAACACAGACAGCATAGTCAGAAGGAAGAGCGCAGGGCAAGCTAGCAAGACAGAAGTTAAGCTCTCCGCAACATGGACCTCCCCCACTCTCATTCAGATCTGGCGTTTGGAATTATTTTGGTTTTCATGTGAAGGTAAGCGAGTCATGGACTAAAGTAAAACAGTATGTTGGATGTGCCGTGCAATGCTCAATTACATGGGTGGGAACTAGTGTGTTAGCGCAGTTAGCTCGTTAACGTGTTGGCCGTCTAGCCCCATGCACGGGGCGATCGGCGGTAGCTCGTTAACGGAGATTTGCCGTGTTGTGGCGTTAAGGTCATTTCAACGAGATTAACCTGAAAGCACTAGTGGGAACACAACGAATATGACTGCACATTTACGCCGACATCATCCTAGTGCAAAGACAAAAACAACAAGCATGCTACTAACTTTAGCCGAGTCATTTAGACAGCTGTTAGCACATGATTCTCCTTATGCTGCTGAGAATATAGCCCAGAAGAAGCGGATAGTATAGCTTTTATTTTGGAAAGAGACATTTCTCTGTAATAAACTCTCTTTTCCAAAGATGAGTGATTCCTCAATCAGATACAGGGCTCGCAATATCGCTAGCCCGACGTCCCGGGGCTAGCGATTTTTTTCAGTCGGGCTACCAAAATCTATCTCTGCCCTGCCCGTCGGGCTATTGTAGGAAGGAAAAATATATGTCAATGCTTTTGCATTCTTTCGGAAATGTAGCTGGGTAATTATGTCATTGGCATCGGTGAGCCACTGTCAATATGTGACATATTGAAATCGCGTTTGAATTTGCGCTTGTTTTTTTGCTTTCACTTTGCAATCGTGCGAACTGTGTATAGAGAGCGACAGCACTGATCTGTGAGTGATGATAATTTGTGCACCAATTCCTCTGACATCGTCTTATTAATCGTTAGCTTACTATGCAAACATGACAAGTGAAATCTCCCGCAGCAAGCTTAAACATGTGAGAGGTTGATCGCGCAGAGAATCGCTGAGCTTATGTGAGTGCGTGTGTAAAAGCAGCAGATATATATTTTAGTTCTGCTGAGCCAAATAAGACAGGTCAGGGTGAAGAAGTGACAGCCAAAGAAAAGCTTACCACAAAACGGAGAAGTTATGACAAATCAGACTATAAGGCAAAAAGAAAGTGCAGCTTTACAATTGGCTCAATAATTTGCAGCTATATAACCAGGGCTCACATAAGTGGTCCGCAGGTGCGCATTCGCTGTCAAAATAAAAAACACGCACAAGGGTTAGGGTTAAATTTAAAAACTGTACTTTTGAGTTAAAATATATATTTATAATTTTAATAAATGACAAATTAAAAATGCATGAACATTTTTTTGTATCGAAAAAATATCGAACCGTGACACCAAAGTATCGAACCGAACCGAACCGTGAATTTTGTGTATCGTTGCACCCCTAGTGTATATATATATTATTATCACTGCTGGAAAGCTGCATGTTTTTGGGGAACCATATGTTCGCCAATCCATCGTTCTACAGAACATGTTTCTATTTCTCCTTCCATTTCACGATGGTTCCTACATATTATCAGAGACCGAGACTTTGGTCTCTGATAACAGAAAAACTTAAAGTTTTAAACTAACAATGCGCAACTTGTAGATCCCAAAGATGGTCCTAAGTTAAAACTCTTTGGAAACTTTTTTAACCAACCAGCAAAGATATCAATGACATCCATGAAAAGCAAGTGAGGTCATGTGATTCACTTTATACAGATAATCCAGCTTTCTTTTTTGACTTAAGACGATTTAAGAACAATTCAAAATGGGGTTTTGACAGGATAATCTGTCCCGTAATCTGTTTTTCATCAGTGAAACAGAAGAAAAAAGTTTTTCCAGTCTTTGACACTTGTTTGTACTCCAAATTTATTTATTTATTTACACAAAAACAATTGAGCATAATGCCACACTTGTAAAAATGCACTGATGGGAGTGGAAAGTTCTGTGGGTGACAAAGCCAGTTCATTTCAGTAATGACCAGGGCAATCTACCAGGAGAATCAAATTAGTGGGATAAAAATGAGCCGACAATGTAAGCGCAGGTTCTGTGTTTAAGGGGAATCACTATATATTGATATAAAGCCCAAGTCTCCCATCACAATTTGATAGGGAGTGTGTGGAGTCTCAGAGGCCAACAAAAAGCTTCTTTTCTGGATAATTCTGAAAGCTCCTGCAAAGGAAATACAGCTTTGCTTTATATGAAAAAACTGGAGAGCAAGGACTGCACCAATAAGCTGAACTCATTTCAGCACAATATTAATTTTATCTCTTTATTATCCGCTACTGGTAAGAGTAGATGTTACAGTTAGGCAATGAAGAGGTGAAACATGCATAATAAAAGCACCAACACTATTATCACTAACATTTACAGTGATGCTGGATTCAATTGCATACACACAGGTTTTTATAGTAGTGAAAAAAAACAGCTACCTTTAAAGTAAAAGCAAAAAAGCTGAATTATGATTTCTCACAAAATTGCAAAAGACAGGAGATGAGGAGTTTATTGAAGAGTGTTTGGTGTCTGAAATGAGATAAACTGCAAAATGTGTACTTCTTTATGTTTGACCTTCACGCACATCTCACACCTCACCAGGCTGGGCCTGGATGTTGCCGGCAAGCCACACAATACGCAGGGATGGTTTAGTATTTATACTTTTTACTCTGTTTAGATCGTGAGGCAGGACACTTTAGACTCTTGTGGTCGAATTGAGCACAATAAAAAGAAGTTACTGGTTTTTAGCAGATGAATCTCATTTTTTGCTTCTTATTTTTTTATTTTACAGACAAAAAGTATTTAAGAAACGATGAATCACTGAAATGAATTTTTCTCTACTTATTTCTCAGGGCTCTGAGACACTACAGTACAATATGACATACTTATTCCCTGCAGACTTTTCAACCATGGTTACCTTGCAGTGCACAGAAAGCCCATAATTATCACAGGTGAGCACAAAACAGGTATTCACTCTACTTACCGGCGAGAGACCGATGTAGACCTCTGATTGGGCGGAGCAGGGGCAGACATGGAGCCAGGCAACGTCTCGGGTTTCTTGTGCTCTAACCTTTTCTCTGAGTTTTTCAGCTCTATACTGAGAGCCTGCAGCCTGACAGAAAACAGACATAAGCAGTGAGTGAACACAGAGTCACACAAAGAAAGAGAGGACTGTTACACACTCAAATAAAGCGTGATTTCTGCTGACTGCCCATGTGCACCGCTAAAGAGGAGGATTATTCTCATCAATAATACACCACAAACAATTTGGTGGGCCCTTGAGAGGCAGGTTTCTGTATGTGTGGAAACGCAGGACGCCTGCTGTCAGTCAGCTTCCTGCATTAACACTTCTCTGCTGTGTTGTTTTCCTATCAACCATGACTACCTCGCTCATATTCTCTTCTGCTTCTAAAGTCTGCGAACAAAGACAGCTGAATGAAAGACAGTTTTTCAGTCAAATCCTGTCGATACTAATAATCTACCTACTGTAGAACCTCATCCACATTTGAGCTCTAACTTTAAATCCTCTTCCATTGTTCCTCGGCTCTCTATCATGATTTTAAAGCTGGTCTAAGATGTATTGTTGCATAGTTAGCAGTGAGCAAACTAAACCACAGACCCGCGCAGTGGCACAAATCTCTATCCTAATGAAAACACACACACGATCCTTATGATATGATAGTGCTGGCTGTAGCTTTTCAGCTCACAGCCCGACACATACCAACACAACAGCATAGATGGCACAGACGTTAAGGCGGCGAGGCGTGATTGCGGGTGCCGCTCAGGTGCGTCCGCCTCCCCTGCAGCGGCGCTGCAGACCACGCCCCGCCACACACATTAACCAGGTAAAATACATATTTAGGCAGAATTTTGCAAATATATATTTTTCATTTTTTAGCAGCATAGTGCTTTTTATCCCAATTATTTTGTTAAAAGTCAGGCCAAGGCTCCAAAAGCTCAAAGGCGATATAAGGGTGGCGGCTCACAGCAGTTTTTGTTTGCTACATGCATCATTTTAGTTCAGCTGGGTGTCTTTCCTTTTGTTATATTTCTTTAAGAGTTCAAAATATGTTAATTACATAAATAAAATGTAATTTTCTCTGTAGCACTTCATGGATTTCATAAGCAACACACCTTAGTTGTTCACACAAAGCATAAAAGTAAAAAACTATATATACAGTGTTATCTTCATTTTAGATGTCAAAAAGTATTTGCGACTCCCAGTGTTTTCTTTTGCGTGGAAACCAGGTCCAAATGGCTCTTTGGGCATTAAAGGTTGCTGACCCCTGGTATAAACACAAAGCAGCCTTAGGAGCACATCACAGAAAAATGTATCCACAGAGAATCTACTGTAGTACTCCGGCTTCCTCCCACAGTCCAAAGACTTGTAGTTAGCAGGGATAGGTTAAATGGAAACTCTAAATTGCCCATAGGGCATGTGAGTGTGAATCGTTGTCTGTGTCTGTGTGTTAGCCCAGTGACAGACTGGCGACCTGTTCAAGGTGTACCCTGCCTCTCACCCTAAGACTTCTGAGATAGGCTCCAGCACCCCCATGTGACCCTGAAAACGATAAGTGGAAGAGAATGGATGGATGGGTCCTGATGGTGTGACGTGACCTGGAAATCATCTATAGGGACAAAAGTATTGGATCACAGTTATCTTTAAATTCAAGCGTATAATATATTCTGGTGTATAAAATCAAACACCTAGCCACACAGTATGTCCTTTTAAAGATTTGTGAAAAATCGGTTGTTCTAATGAGCTCACTGAATTCAAGTGTGATACTGTAATTAGATGCCACGATTGCAACATTTCCTTCCTCCTAGATATCCGACCTGTAGGTAGTATTATTGCAAAGTGGAAGCATTTATGAACCATGGCAACATAGACACAAAGTGTCAGCCCATCTAACATTACAGATGCAAATTTTATAGTATGTAGTTTAAATCTCCTTCAGCAGCAACATCAGCACAAAAACTATGTTCCAGGAGCTTTATGGCATGGGTTTTTATGGCTGAGCTGCAACATGTAAACATACATTGCCAAGCACAATGCCGTGTCAGATGGAGCGAAGTGAAGCACACCACCACTAGACTCTGGAGCAGTGGAAATGTGGTCTGTGGTGTGATGAATCATATTTCGTTATCTGGCACTATGATGGACAAGTCTGGTTTGGCAAATGTCAGGAGAACATTACCTGCCGGAGTGCCAACTGTACAGTTTGGTGTTGGAAGAAAAATGCTATGGCATTGTTTTTCTGGTCTCCTTCGACGCAGTGAGGAGAAATGTTAATGCTTCAGCTTACAGAGATATTTATTCAACTAGCTGAGTTTAAATAAGCAAGAGAACTTATTCTGCTAGTAGATACCGTTTTTTCTGGACCTTTTATATTAATTATTAGTTTTGTATTTGTAATTATTAGATTTGTATATAAACGATGAATTTAGCTGGTAAGACACCGTCTTTGTGTTTGGACTCTGAAGCTCCTCTAGATAATGAATGTCACTTGTAGATCTGAAAAGTGAAACCAGCATGGAAGTGTGTTTAATCTACATTAAATTATACCATTTGGCTAAGATCCTTGACAATTTAAAACCTTTTCTCTTAACTTCACTGTTTTTGACTTTTTAGAGCAAAAGTTTACTTAGCTTATAATTCATATCTACCAATCTTAGCTGTCTTAACTATCTTATATCTAACTTCAAGTCAGCATGTCATCCTGCTTTGGTTGCTGTCACCACAGATCAAACCACACCAGACCACATGATGCAGATGATTTATTAAGTTAGGCCTGTTATGCAACACCATACCCAGCCTGAGTGTGCTGAACAGGCAAGCAGCTTCTGTGCTGACGACATGGAAACACAAAACTGGAAAGAGAGGAGGTAAGAGACAAGAGAACGTGAGGATGAGAGGAGGAAAGAGGAGCCAATGAGATGAAAGGAGAAGACAGCACGTGTTGCGAGAAGAATAGTAACTAAGGAAAGGAAGGAGGTTTGAAAGAAGGATGATTCTGGACACACAGGACTATGGAATGGCATGATTACATACACACACATTCACAAACTCCGGATTATTCATACCCCCATGTGTCTGGAGCAGAACACACAGTGCATTGTCTCTCATGAAAGACAGCGTGTCCTTGTTGTCCAACCATGATGTGCCCTTGATGAATCTCAGAGCATCTGCAACAAATGTTCTGCAGTGTCAGTACGTGAAAGTACTTACAGGCAGTACTAAACAGTAACAAAGATCTGACTTATTCCAGGATGCACAACATAATTTGTGAGAGGAATGCAGACTCACAAGTCTGCATTTAAACTCCTCCTTTAGTCTTTCATCTAGATCGAGCAGACTGCAGTGGTAACATAACTCACGACTTGGGGGACTGTGTGTGTGTGTGTGTGTGTGTGTGTGTGTGTGTGTGTGTGTGTGTGTGTGTGTGTGTGTGAAGGTGTGACTCACACCAGTTACCAGAGCCTCTTGAATGCATAATGCAAGCCTATCTAATAAACAGGAAAATGCTGCAAACCAGAGGTTCATAAACTGCTTGATAGCCATAGGGTCTTGAACACTGAGTCACTGCTGCTATTCCAGAACAGCCATTCAACACCTCTGGTGTGTGTTTGGATGTGCTTGTGGGTGAGTGTTGATCTTACAAAGCAACTGTGGTTGTTCTGTAACAATTCAACAATTCTCCCGCCCTCGAGGGGGTCAATGTACGGAGCACCGCAGGGGACATGGGAGAAAAAAAAATTAAGACTGACTTTTGCGAGATCGCAAAAGTCAGTCTTAATTTCTTTTTCTCCCATGTCCCCTGCGGGGCTCCGTATCAATGATCAATGAGAAAGGTCAAATAAAAGACGAACATAGACTGTAAATAAAAGATGGCGTCCTGGGTTTTAAACAGAAACCCAATTTGGGGGAACTTTACACCTGCATTCTTTCTAAGGAATCTCCTTTCTCCTTTAGTTTTAAAATGCTGTTTTGTTTCATAGACGTCTATTAATAAAAAAGGCCTCTGTCTCCCATTGGTTGATTCCAGTAACAACTGAAGTCATAGTTAATGGTGCAAATCAGGATAAATCAGCGTATAGTTTAAGATGGCCTATCAGTATAAAAGAAGCTGGGCCCGAGCTAAGCAATGGATGATGTCACAGTGGTGACATCCATCCTTTATATAAGATATATTTTTATATAGGTCAAACTCCAGCAACAAGTGTTCTTATATAGAACACAGTCCTTTACTAATGTGTTTCAGCTTGTGGTCAGGGTTGCTATTACACACAAAAAGAGAGCATGTTAATACACAAGCAATCCTTTCTGTAATTATTTAAAATTAAAGTCTTTAGCATTTCAATGGATGACAATTCTTCATGGAATAATACTTTAATGTAATTAAAAGGTGGCAAAATAAAGCAGATCACAATGAATGAAACACCATCACTGTGTCCATTTGAAGTATTAGAAATGTATGGATATATTTAGGCACCAGGAAGTTCTCCAACACAGCTGCTGGCTCCGGCATCACAGTGTCAGAGTTAGATATATTCCGTGTGTTAGGGGTCAAAGGTTAATTATGTCTTATTTGCTACACTATTCCCAAACTAGTGAAGGCGAAGAATTCACAAGCAGTGAACTCCTCATCTGATTTCAATAGTAAATCTGTAGACTGAATGGAACACTGCGGCTCTCCGAGGTAAACAGTGTCTATCGCACTGGATGATGACTCATTCTTTTATCTTAACATACAGCACAGTCAGCCGCTTCTAGTAGCATCCTACCTGGGGAAACATAACAATATGACCCTCCACCATAAGTGCTATAAATACCAACAGTCTTACACAAGAAAAAAAAAACATGGTTATGATGTTGATGGTAGAGGTGCTGTTTTCCTGGATTTTTCCTACAAAGGACAAATTACATGTAAACACTACATAAAACACTGGAAATAACTAAAAATCTGCTGGTTGATCTGTTTGTTAGCCGTCGTCAGGTTTGGTCTCTGCAGTCTACAGTGCAGCTAAAGGAAAAAACAACAAGACACTTGGGACTTTGTTTCATAACAATCACAGAAGTCACTAATCCTCTGCGTTTCTTTGTGGAAGTTT